CATGCAGTGTGTTTAAGATAATTACTATACACCAAAAAAAAACAAAAAAAATAAAAAAACATTCATTGTAAATAAAAGAACGTAAAATGTATTTCTTTTTATATCAACTAGATGGTACATTAGTCTTAAACTATATCATAGGTTTTGATTTCTATACTTTGATTTGTGATTCTGAGCAATATACGATAGATACCGCATGGACTGATAGCTCCTAACGTGACCTTTATTTCCCTACCTCGCATGAAATAATGAAACTTTTCCTCTGACTTTGTCACACATAAAATCGATTTTGGGAATTTACCACATAACTTACAATTTGAATGTCAAGGTTAGGATCTATCTAATTGGTCGCAAACATACAGTGAAGTCATTGTCGCTCAGTTTACTTTACGTCACGTAACTGGTGTAAAAAGTTATCTGTCTGAGAGGATTTGGACACAGTTCTTCACATGACTACTGACACATCTTAAGTCCAATTGGAATTGAATAAAGAGCCAGTGCCACACAGGGTGTGTTAATATCTCTCAGTACCCAGACGGAATTAATGAATGATGATAAGGAGGTATTGAAGGGATTGATTTTAAGGATTAAGATAAATGAATTTAATACATGTACTTGCCTTAATTGATATGTTTAAGATAGCTTGCCAGGCAAGGAAATATACACCCTTGGCAGCTTTGATTTTGAATAAAAATATTTGGCAGTACAGTAACGATTATCAGTATGAATTAATCAACCTTCAATTATACACTTCTTTTGAACATTCTGGGGCGATACTGAATAATAAAACCAAGTTTTGTCAAAATCCGGCAAAATTTGTACCTTTTAGTGTTTAAGAGCTAAAATTTAAAAGCGTTTTGAAGAACGAGGTCAATAACTCTTTTAAAACATTTGTTTTGTTTTTTTCAATAGGGTTCATCCATGGGTGATAATAAACAATTTCGCCAAGTTTCTTCAAAATTCGCCAAGAATTGTTCCTTCTAGAGTGTTTACAAGCTAGAAATTGAACGAGTTTTCAAAAACAAGGGCAACAGGGTTCATCCTTGGGCGATAACAAACACTCACATCAAGTTTCATCAAAATCTGTCGGGATTGTGCCTTCAAGAGTGTTTACGAGCTAAAAATTGAATGTGCTTTCCAGAACAAGGGCAATAACTCATACTAATTCTTTTTCGATTTTTTTTTATTTTTGGTAGAGTTTATTCTTCGGTGATAATAAACACCCACGCCAAGTTTCGTCAAATTCCATCAAGAATTCTGCCTTCTAGAGTGATTAGGAGCTAAAGATTTAACGCGTTTTCAAGAACAAGGGCAATAACTCTAATAAATACTTAGTAATTTTCGATTCTTCTGATTTTCTATCACTCACACGAAGTTTTGTCAAAATCTGTAGAGAGTTGTGACTGCTAGAGTGTTTACGAGCTAAAAATTGGACGCGTTTTCAAGAACAAGGGCAATAACTCATACTAAATATTTTTCGATTCTTCTGATTTTCAATACTGTTTATCCTTGGGTGATTACGAACATCTACACCAAGTTATGTCAAAATCCGTCAAGAATTGTGTCTTGTAGAGTGTTTACGAGCAATTGTGGACAGACGGGCGTATAAAAATGATATCTTTTCTTTCTTTTCTTTTAAAAATAATAATTGTCTTATAATACAAAGATAATATAAATCGTGCTAAATACATCAATTGTAGAGCGATAAATTAACTTATGTTATTTTCTCTTGCCTGTATATGTGTTGTGTTGTTGCATTAAGCATATTGTTTTCTATGAAGCCATCTTATTTTGTTGTATATAGCCTATGTATTAAATGTTTACCTCAGTTAGAATTATAAATAAATTGGATATAAGTAGATGTGTGTTAAGATTTGAATTATACCTATTAAATTTGTATGATTACATCATGAATGTTTATAAAAATGGTTTTTATGTATTTATGTGTCTTATTCTGAACGAATTTCCGTAATTTTACGAGGAGATAAATCGCAGATGACCAAATGGGTGAATATTGGGTTAAACAACAAGTCGTGAGACCTATCGAATAATAAAATACCACACTCCACCTATCGAATGATAAGATACCACACTCTGCCTATCGAATGATAAGATACCACACTCCGCTTATCGAATGATAAGATACCACACTCTGCCTATCGAATGATAAGATAAACATACTCCGCATATAGACTGTTAAGGTACCACACTTCGCCTATTGGATGATAAGATACCACACTCCGGCTATCGATTGATAAGATACCACACTCTTCCTATCGAATGATAAGATAACATACTCCGCCTATAGAATGTTAAGGTACCACACTTCGCCTATTGGATGTTAAGGTACAACACTACGCCTATAGAAACACGTACACAATTCTGCTAGACGTTTATACCAAAAGAATTGTTACGACATACAACAAGAATAAAAATCTCAGCAACCAATTAGTCAATGGCAGACTTCAACCACTATAAAAGAATTCTACATACCTATAGTTAAAATTCTTTCTATGAAATATTATTTTTCTAATAAATTTTATCATAATTAATTTCATCTTTGTTATATTTTCCTTTTTAATATACACCTTATTAATTATAGCTATATTATTCCCTTCGTAATAGGTCGCAGTGTTCCAATAATCAGTAATAAGCATTAATACGCCATGTATTTCTAGATTTATAGATTTAATCATTAGAATCTCCAGAACTAAGAAACTGGAATTCAATATTATTGTAACCTTATTTAATCTGAAAGCTTTATAACTATTTTTACACTATTCATCTCAAACCGCAAGTTTGTATTACTAGACCAGTGCCTAATTCCCTTCCCTCTTAACAAATATTTTGTGTTTAAGCCAACGCAAATACATAAAGTATTTGGAAGTGGATACATATAAACTTATACAATACCTTCCTCGGAAGAGAAGAAATAAATTCAATCTAATTTCGGCTAATCAATGGGCCAGCGCTCGTACTGAATCTTAAACTAACAGATGTTTTACTAACCATACTTTAGTCTCATAAACTGAAATATTTTATCTGAGCC